GGTATACAATATAATGACATTCATCATTGGAAATTTGCACCTTTACATAATCCATCTTGGTTCTTATTTTTTCCCCGTTCCCCTGCCCTCCCTTCAACCCCTCCACCCCTATCTACAGACTGTTTCCATTTTTTCTTTTTCTCATATTAATTCCATTCCCTTCTTTAAAGATCTTTACTCATCTCTCCCATACTACTTTGTTTTGGTTTGGTTTTTTATTGGAACCGGGGATCAAACTCAGGACCTTGCACTTTCGAGGCAGGCGCAGCGCCACTGAGCTAATCCCCAACCCCCATAGTACTTCTGGGTCAATGCTGATTCCATTTTGTCTTCCTTCACTAAGCTTGAAGGCAAGCATGGCAAGGGCTGTGGTGATAAGGCTTTCGGGGTCTGAACCTCTGTTCTGGCGTTATTGTTATTATTAGCCAAGCAATCTTGGAAAAATTTGTACGTCGCATTTTTCAACTGTTAAGCCTAGCGTTCTGGTGATGAATAATTGAGTTAATATGTGGGAAGCATTTAGAAGAATGCTGGCTGGTAAACATTCAACAAGCAGCATCTGCTGTTAAATTACCATCGAGAGTATGAACACACATATACACATACACACATTCTTGGGGGAGGGGGATTTGAACCTTTGAAATGAGCAACATCCCCCAGATCCTCCCCACTTTTAAAAAATTTTGAAACGGTATCACAAAGTCGCTTTTTCCCCGACTGCGCTCCAGCTCGTGGTCCTCCTGCCTCGGCCTCCCACAGCAATATTACAGGCGTGCGCCCCAAGCCCGGCTGTGTCTGTATCTTCGTGGAGCATCTATTTTGCTGCCGTCAGAAATGAACAGATACTTAATGAAAGGGGTAATCCTCACACACTGAACCCGCAAAGCCCTGTGAAGTGGCAAAGCAGGCAGGAGCAATCACTAACGAGGAAAAATAAAAGCCAAACAAAGCCCCCGAGAGTTCGGGGGCTGCTCCAGCCGGCGTGCTGAAGGTCGCACTGCGGCCCGGCTCCCGACCCAGCCAGGGATCTGGCCAACCCCTCCTGCCCCCCCGGGCTCAGCAACCGCGCCACGGATAGCGGGGAGGGACGGCGGCCGCGGGTCCTGGAGAAGGCTGGGCTGGAACCGGCCGCAGCGTCAAACCCGCAACGGCGAAACCGCAGCCGCTCACAAGCGGGGGCGGGCCCCAGATCCGGCGCACGCGCGAAACTCCCCAGTTGCCGTCTGGGATAGTCAAGCGCGACCAGCCTCCGTAACGTCATCAGTTCGCGCCGCAGCCCAGGGTCCCTAGCGTTCCTCTCTAGGCAGGCGGGCGGCTCGTCTCGGTACCCCCAGTTGAGCTCTACCCACTGTCCTCACTCCCACCTCAATACGCCTTGGGCTGCCGCTGGGAAGCTGAAGGGATGCGAGCACCGGGGTCCACCCCGAGGACCTCCTGTTGTGTCATTTCTGCCGGCTGCAGTTTTCTTCCTGTGGCACTGCTTTCACCAAGCTGTCACAACCCCTCTCGCACACATTTCCCCTGCCAGTGAGTGTGGGCCACCTCCCAGGAACCTCACGCACCTCACCCAGCGGTGACCTTTATTCAGCAAGCCGCCGAAAGCACAGAGCGCTGCTGTGGGCGTCAATCCAATTGTCAGCGGCTGATTGTGACAAATCACGTTACCTCTGTGTCCTTCGCCATGTACGACAATGGTGCCAGAGCTCATGGGCTTGAGGAGTGAGTGAGGTCAGCTCCCGTACACTATTAGGAGCGGTTGGCCCTGCTAGACGTCGGGACTGCCGCCCTTCCCACTCCCCGCGCCTGCGTCTACCGTGCAGCCTGGCCGCAGTGCCCTTCCCAGCCCTCACAGTGGCGCCCCACGAGCTTCTGCGAAGCTCCAGGAAACGTGCGCCGTGGGCTGCCGCGCCCCAGGCCTGAGCTGAGCTGGCGCCTGGCTCGCTCCCATGGCGTCCTGCTGCCCTCAGGCTCAACGCAGGGGCCGTGCACACCCCCCACTCAGCCGCCCCCGGCACTCAGAGCTAACGCTTTCTGAATAAATCAAAAGCAGCAGAGAAGTTGCGCGCAGATTTCCAGAGTGGCTCTTTGCCCTGAACAGGAAGAGAACAAAGTCAGCAGGGGATGTGCCACCGACAGGCCACCGGGAGCCACCTTCCACTAGACGCTTTGTAGTGACATGCCACGTGGCAACGCTGAGCGCCGCCTAAATTTCACCGGCCCCCATTCTCAGCACTTCTTTGGCAGCAGAAATTTCTTCCCTGTAGTCCTAACATTCCTCAGGCCAGGGAGCCTACATCTAATCATTTTCTCTTCCTTTTAGTCTTCAAAGAATTTCTAAATCCCAGCTCTTCTGTGTGGACATTAAGCCTGGAATGAGGCATCCTTGGAAGAGCACTGAGAACAGTAATCTAGGATGAAAGCATTTCAGGCTGAGCTAGTTTCAGGCTCACAGGGACAAACACCAAAAGCACTCCACGTAACAGAAGCAGCCTTGGCCGTGATACGGCCGACGAGGGAAGCGAAGCTGGAGCTACCGAGGGTGGAAGTTACGATTCTGGGAAGTAAGAGGTCAAATGCAAAACCAGGCGCTCACCTCACACCCTGGAGTCAGATTCTGAGGGAAACCCGCATTTAGCTTATAAAGTGAGCTCCTCCCAGCCTCCGGATGAAGGAAAGGCAAGAGCCCTAAGTGGCAATTCCACAGTGGATACAGAGGGACAGAGAACAGAGGTTTAATGGAAAGACGTGAATGAAAAGCAGGGGGCTCAGTTTAAATTTACCAACCCTGAGGGGTCATGTGGCCTTGGGCAGGTCCTGTCTTCTCTCGTATTGCCCTGGGGATATGATGTGCCCGGGTCCCACAGTGTCCTTTTGAAATCATTAAATTTTACAGCATTGAGAATAAGCAAGACGGTTGGGAGTGGTGGCACACGAGGGTAGCTGAGAGTTCAAGACCAGCTTGGGCTACACATTGAGTTCAAGGTCTGACTGAACTACATATCCAACCTTGTCTAAAAGAGAAAAAAAGGCAAACAATCCAGTTCTTTATCAGAGGTCAAAAGCCCCAGAAGTGTTCACACTGTGGGCCTCTCAGCACGCTCTACTGCCAGGCCAGCATTGCTCTTCAGCTCCTGTCTCTCTGCTTCTGTCTCTATTTATTTTAGTGGTACAGTGGATTGAACCCAGGGCCATGTGAAAGGTACGCGAGCATTCTACCACTGAGCTATATCCACAGCCTATATTTTGAGTCACGGTTTCAGAAAAATGGCCTGGCTGGCCTTCAACTTTGAACTGTCCTACACCAGCCTCCTGAGCTGCTGGGATTACGGGAGTTTATCACCATGCCCAGCTATTTCATGGAAGTTACAGTTGACAAAAATGTGTTCCTTAAGGAACATTTTCCTTCCTCTTGGGATGAAGACTTGGGCTAATTTGTAATAAGCTCCTTTTCCTATAACTATTACTTTTTCTTACAGAATTCTCTGGTTAACACAACCAGAGTCTTGCAGAATGGTTTGGTGTTTGCTTCTGCCAAATACTTCAGATAGAATCACCATACCTTTTTACTGACAACTGGAGACCTAAGACCCAATTCACAGATTGGCGTGGAGCAACATGATTCAATATTTTAGTTTAGTTCCACAAATATTTATTGACAACCTTCTAAGTGCCAGGCACTGTGGATGTAAAGATGAATATCACACTCCTCCTGCCGTGATTCAGCTGATAGGTAAGTAAAAGAGAAAGAGGTCTAAATAAAACATTACATAACACAAAGTGATGAAAACATCATACACAAACTGGGCATGGTGGCAGATGCCTATGATCCCAGGACTCAGAGGATGAGGCAGGAGTATCACAAGGTAGAACGCACCCTGTCAACATAGCAAGGTTCTGTCTCCAAAAAAGGGGGGAAAGGTGAGATAGGGATGTAGCTCAGTGCAAAGGCCCTGAGTTCAATCCCCAATACCTCAACACACACACAAACACACACACAGAATAAAACAACTGAGGTTAGAGACAGCTTTAAGATGCAGATGTTACGAAGGGTGGTAGCACATGCCTGTAATTCCAGAACTCAGAGGGCTGAGGCAGGAAGATCACCTCAAGTTCAAAGACAGCCTGGGCTACATAGTGAGTTGAAAACCAGCCTGTACTACAAAGCAAGACCCTGTCTCAAAAAAAAAAATGTAGATGTTGGCTGAGCACATTCAGAATGGACAATTGCAAGCTGTTGAGGCAAGCAGAAACAAGGACGAAAGACCATAGGAACCGCATGTGCAAAAATATCAGAGTCCAGTGCTAACATTAGAGAGCTGCAGGAACATGCACGTGAAACAGAACGCATGGGCAAGGACTGGCAGCTGAGGACGAGATGGTGGTATGGGCCAGATGAGGGGCTCTGATGTCCCTCTGGAGGGGCAGGACTTTATTCTAAAGTAAAATGAATACCCTTCCAGTTATGCTTATAAAGATCGTCCAGAAGAAATACGAAAGACAGCTTAGTGGGACAAGAAATTGAAAATGTTAGAAAAACCAGAAAGTGTAGGAAGTAAACCAGGGGGTTGGACCAAAGCAAAAGGAAAGAAGATGGCCTCGGGATCTGGGGGATAACTTCAACAGCACGTGATCGGATGGGTATGAAACTGAGTAAGGGGGAGGGCTGCAGGGCCAGCAGTTCCTAGGTGAAGGCCACACCAGAATGGCTGGGCACTCACAGCCAACAACAGAAGGAAAAGCAGGAGGAGCTAGGTGACAGTGAGATGGGGTGAGGCCAGAGAAGATGAGATCTTTACTTCCTGTCTGTGCACGAAGTAAAAATGTGCCAGACTTTTCCAGTGTGAGGATTAAATGTTTAGGGTCATGTTCATTCAATTTTAGGAAGGCATGGTCCTAAGTACTTATAGGTATCTTTCACCTTTAAGTTTTTCCTATTTCTCAAGGAAACTCTCCATTTTCTCCATGTGAGATTTCAAAGATAGTAGTAAGTATACGCTAAATACCTACACATCAGGATGTCCTTTATTTTAGAAGGCAAAGATAGATTTAAAATATATTAATTCACCAAATATTTATTGAACATTTACTTTGTGCCAGGAATTAATTCTGTAGTGTTATTTTCATTTAGAAAGTATAAACTCATTGACATTTTAATATATTTTCATGAATATAAAATACTCAGGTAGATTTCCTAGGGGCATTTCTGTCAATAAGGTAATAATTTCCTCAATTACAAATTCCTCTGTGGCAGGTTTTGAGAACACCATCCTCATGCTAGAGACGGGAAAGTAAATGCATTATTTCTTCCACATTCCCACAAGTGACCATCACTGGCCCAAACCAATGCTTAGAGGACAGATGTGCTAGAAAAATAAGTGCTGTGTTCCAAATAACCAGGTCTTCTAGAATCAACTTATTTTAGGGTTTTTTTGGTACTGGGGATCAAACTCAGGAGCTTGCACTTGCAAGGCAGGCACAGTGCCACTGAGCCAAATCCCCAGCCTATTTTAGTTGTTTGTAACAGTCATATTTTAAAACTATATATGCTTCAGAGCTTAGTAACTATTCCAAATACAGTGGTACCTCAGTTCATGAATGCTTTTGTTTGTAAACAATTTGGTTTGCAGAAAAAAGCACTTGGCAAAATTTTGTTTTTGTTCGCAAACTCTGCATTGGGTGACAAACACAACTGTGGCCATCTTTCCCACACGAATACAAATGTGGCCATCTTTTCCAAAATTGTAGGACAAATTAAGTTTGGAATCCGAGGCACCACTGTACTGGTCAAAGGCTCTCCTCCTTTCTGGAGCTCAACTTCTGGGTGCTAGATAAGAACCTGAAAGGAGGGCTGGGGATTTAGCTCAGTGGTTCTGCTGCCTGCCTTATAAGTGCAAGGTCCTGATCCCAGGTACCCCCCCCCCAAAAAAAACCCCCAAAAGCATGAAAGGGGCTGTGGACATTAAGAAAACAGTTGTTTTTCTCAAAATAAAATATGACCACAGTCAGTAGAGACCTGTGCTATCTTGATTTTTGGAAAGTTGACACAAGTCATTTTCTTTTTTCTTTTTTTTTTTGGTACCGGGGATCAAACTTGGGTCCTTGCGCTTGCACAGCAGGCAGCGAAAACACTGAGCTAAATCCCCAGCCCTACAGGTCATTTTCTTCAGAACACTTTCCCCCACAATTCCATGATGAATGTCAACACTCTATTAAGGACCAGCCCCACAGCCCCCAAACTCCAGGGAGCCTGACAGGCAGTCCTCCCTCTTCACTAATGCTTTCACCTTTTGGTAGGACAGTTAGTTTAGGTAGGTCCCTGTGAACCAGGGCCTGACCAAGCTTCAAGTCATGTGTGTACACCTGAGGCTACAGCAAGGTTTTGTTTTCTATGTGCCCTGCACAGTCACATGCAGGTTCTCAGCTCTGATGCCTCTTATCACCAGCCATGTACCAGAGACCATACCTCCCCTGGGTAAGTCAGTGTTCTTCTATGACACAGCTAGGATTTCCTCTGTACCCTCTATAGGCAGTTTGGCCTTCCCAGAAAATGGCAAACTCTTGACCTCCTACTTCCTTCTTAGCCCAACTGAACCATAAGATTGAAAGGAAAACCAGAAAGGTTTCCCTCACCCTGATACAAGCCTTTTTCACGTGGACATGGATAGAGCAAGCTAGGTCTTGCCACCATCCCCTTGTTGAATGAATGAATACAGTTTTCCACTTCTTTCTGTCTGCCCTTCACAGGATCACTCCCCCAGGTCAGACCCTCCCTACATGGGTATGTTCAAGAAGCTATAAGCATCTGGAAGCTACCTCTAGCTCAACCCTGTATCAGAACTGTTGCTACCCGAACACTGTTTGGAAAGGGACCATACCCCCTCCCCATCCGATGCATACAGGTAGCAAGGTCAGAGAGGTGGTTAGGAGTTTGGGAGAAGCACAAATGCTAACTTACAAATGACTTGAGTCATGGAGAGGCAGGACTGGTGGCACAAAGCTTATCTGAAAAGTTAGAATTTCCTTTCTACCCCATATTCCTGTGTCCACTTGGAGTCGGCTCTGTATTATCCTAGCCCCACCCCCATTTCTGGAGTATACCCCTCAGAGTAGAGCAGCCAAGCATCCTTCATGCTTCTCCTCCTGGCCCTCTCCTCCCAGCCAGGTTACTAGTCACTCTCTCAAGAGGAACTGTCACAACCTATGTGCCAGAATCATTCACCACTGTGAAGTTTCTGGTGTCTGAAAAGAACTGAACTGTGTCTGAAAAACTTTCCACATTCAATGCATTCATAAGGCTTCTCGCCAGTGTGAATTCTGTAGTGCTCACTCAGGTGTGCATACTTACGGAAGGTTTTCTCACACTCACTACATTTATACAGCTTCTCACCAGTGTGAGTCCGGTGATGTTCAGTAAGAGAAGAGCTATGTGCAAAGGCTTTCCCACATTCCTTACACTTGTAGGGCTTCTCTCCAGTATGAATCCTCATGTGCTGTGTGAGGCAGGTATTCTGGTTGAAGCCCTTGCCACATTCATTGCATCTGTAGGGTTTTTCTCCAGTGTGACTTCTCTGATGGCGAATGAGGCAAATGCTCTGAATGAATGCTTTGCCACATTCACTGCACTTGTACGGTCTCTCCCCGGTGTGGATTCTCTGATGCTTGGTGAGCGGGGTGCTCTGGGTAAAAGCTTTGCCACATTCCTTACATTTATAAGGTTTTTCACCAGTGTGGATTCGCTGGTGTTTAATGAGAGATGGGCTCTGACAGAAGGCCTTGCCACATTCCTTACACTTGTAGGGCTTCTCTCCAGTATGAATTCTCTGATGCTGAGACAGGTTTGCCTTTGTTTGGAAGGTTTTCCCACATTCATCACACTGATGAGGTTTTTCCCCAGTGTGAATTCTCTGATGCTGGGTAAGGTTTGAGTGCTTGCGAAAAGAAGAGCCACAGTCGTTGCACAAATAAGGCTTCTCACCAGTGTGAATCCTCTGGTGGTGAACAAGATGTGTGTTCTGGTGGAATGCCTTTTCACATCTGTCACATTTATATGGCTTCTCTCCACTGTGAATTCTCTGGTGTTCAGTGAGATGTGAATGACTGCAGAAAGAATTCCCACACTCGGTACACTTATAAGGCTTCTCCCCAGTGTGGATTCTCTGATGCTGAGTAAGAAATGATCGGCATCGAAATGTTTTCCCACACTGTTTGCACTCATATGGTTTCACTCCGGTGTGAATTCTTTGATGCTGAACAAGAAATGAACTGCAACTAAATGCTCTCCCACATTCTGCACATGTGTAGGGCCTCTCTCCACTGTGAGTCCTCTGGTGTTGGGTGAGGGACGAGCTCTGAGTGAAGCTCTTCCCACACTCATGACATTTCCAGGCTTTTTCCTGTGTGGAAAAAGTCACACATTTACTTTGGTTGGATATCTCATTGGCATGTACGTCACCTGCTTCCCACTGATGCAGGCTCCCTTCTGTAGACACCCTGAGATGTGTAACAAGGCTTGAGGTCAAAAGCAAGCTCTTCGTAATGTTATACTCTTGACTGATCATTTCAGAGTGTGCATTTTTGTGGATGAAGGTTATTCCTCCAAAGCTTCCTTTCTGAAAAAGGCATGGCCCAGGAACTTCTCTGAGAGTGTTCTCCTTCATGCCCTCACAGCTGTGCTTTCCTTCAAGTGTAAAATCCTGGTATTCATCTTCTTGGAGTCTCTTTGCTATGATCCGTGGTGAACCATTTTCAGATACATCATGCTCTAGAGCACGCTTGTTACTCCAATCTGAAAGAAACCATCAGAGTAAACCATGCAGACCAGAGTAGAAGACCTGACTATACCACCGTAACTTTCACAGGTCTCAGTAACAGCAAATGAGTAAGGACCAACAGAAGCAAGCACAGCAAGTACTTCAGACTTGCAAATGGGGAGAGATCTCCACTAGGGAAATAAATCACAATGATAAGGAAGCTCCACAGAAAGGGCAGCGATAGATACTCAAGAATGAGAGGATCACAGACAATGGCATTAAACAGAAAACAACAGACACCAAGGCTAAGATCAGGGCAGAAGAGGCAACAGTGATGCTTACTATACAAAGAGTGGAGAATGGGAGAATGGAAAAGGGCAAATTCTGGAAGGGAGAAAGGTACAGTGAGAACTGGGGGAGAAGCTGGTCCCAGAGTGCTCACCCACGCCTGTTCCTGACCTCCTTTTTATGAGTCTGGAATCTCATCTTCCAAAACTGAAAGCTGGCTGCTTCTCCCGAGATGGCCACCTGCGTACTCACCTCGGGAAGTCTCCCTTTCAGTCATTCTGGCTTCAGCTCCTTGCATTTTCAACATCCACAAATCTTCTCTTTGCTTCGATTGGAAAATACTTCAGATGTTCAAAATCACAAGCCCTGATCACAGGGGGAAAAGGTTGAGGGGAGATCACTTTCCCAGTAAATGGAAAAATGAGCAAAAGTTTAGGTAAATGATCTAGTATTTTACACAATACCTCTCATGATAGCAACATTTCTCTGTCAGCAAAAATCAGGGCTGATGTGCCACTCCTAAGTTCACAAACCCCACTTGTCAGCTGTGTAAGAAGAGGCAGGCTCACATAGACATACTTTCCAACAATCAAGCACTTGATAAATACATCCAACTATTTTAAATTTAGAATGAGGACAACTAAATGCATAGAAATATCCATGGCAATTAGTGCACCCTGTACAATATATAGTAAAAGCCATTCAGTCAGTTATTATAATGAAAGCTGCATGAGAGAATAGCCTCCCTGGAAGGCTGGTGCATTTACTTCTAGGCGGGATTGCAGCACCTAGGGACCTCTCTATCTGATACAAACTACAGCTATACTCATTGTCCTTTCTTCTTGATGTTGTATCAGTTACACTGTTTTGCTCAATATGAGGACATATGCTGTGGCTGAAAACAAATACACTTTGATTTACAAAAAGTTGCAAAAATAGTACAGAGAATTTCTGCATACTCTGCAGTTTCAAATGCCAAAATCACAACTGTTCATTCCAAAATACCTCTCTGTACAATGCAGAGTTGAGAAGCACAACTAGCAGCTTTAGTACAAGGAAAAGGGAAGACAGAGAGGTGGTTTACCTGGGTCCAGACCTCAAAGGCTGGAAACAGGAAGGACCTGCTGAATACATCCAAAGGGTCCGTAGTGCCTCTCATCCCGGCCTGTGCCTGTCGACTAAGTTTTGGACATTTATGAAGATGCTGTCCCATCCTCCCAGTCACGTCCACAGGAGCAGCACAAAGGGGACCTATCAGCTGCCACAGAGTCCCACAGAGACGCAAGCAGCAGGTGGGGTTTGAGTGTGACTGCTGCCAGAAACTGGGGGTAAAGCCAGACAGTGCTCCTGACAGCCCACAACTTACATCCCAACTGGCCAGACTTTCAAATATGGAGATTATAAAAGTGGAAGTATGTGGTACCATGTAATGTGGAGCAGAGGGAACCTAATCTTGTCTAGGAAATCAAGCTTCTCTGAAGATCAGATAAAGTAGAACTAGACAGTTGAAAAAAAGGAAATTATACCAAGTGTGATCAGAAAATGCAAAAAGAATCAAGCTCAGCACTTTAAAATGATGGGGCCTTAGCAAGGCCAAAGTGTGAGACGCAAAGCCCAAGGGCATATGAAGGTCAAGCCCACAGAACCTGCAAATCATGTGAAGGACTTTACCTTAAAGTGAGCAAAAAGTCATACAAGGATTTGAGGAGATCTCATGAAACTCTGACATGATCTGATCTGCCGTTTTAGCAAAACCCTTCCCTCTGCCCATAGCACAGTGTGAGGGTAAAGGGAAGGGGACCCCCAGGAGGTGGTCACAGCAGTCCAGGAAGGGGAGAGGCAACTCCAGATAGAATCACCAGGCCCGGATGAGTCCTAAGAGGAGCAATGCAGAGGACATAACAGAGAGGGACAAATCAAAGATAACTGTCCAGTTGTTGGCTTGTCTGATGATAGTGACCTATAGTTAAAGAGGAACATTGGTCTGGGGAGGAAGAAGATACACTGAGTTTTGCAATGTGTGTACAAAAAGACATTTGTATTTGGAACAGACCTAAGACGTGGGCTAAAAATATATTTACAGGGTTTTATGGTGGTGTTTTTCTTTATTTTTTCAGTGTTAGGCATGGGCTTGGACACACTAAGCAAACTCTCTAACACTGAATTACACCCCCAGACCCCTAGAACTTCTGACATGAAAAAATTACTGAAATCATGGGAGTACATCATTAAAAAGCCCTGTGGGCTTGGGATTTAGCTCAGTGGCACTGGGCCTGCCTCGCAAGTGCAAGATCCTGAGTTCCATCCCCAATACTGAAAAAAAAAAAAGAAGAAGGAACAAACATTGCAGTGATACAGTGAATTATGAATGATTTCCCCCAGCTTCCTCTATTATCTATATTTTGCTTAACATTTTAAAAAACTAACTTAAATTTAGTATGTATCAAATTGGTTACCACGATCATCTCAGGTATAAAATTATGATAATTTCTGCTTTCAAGAATGTCTTTTAGGGCTGGGGATTTAGCTCAGTGACACTGTGCCTGCCTTGCAAGCGAATAGTCCTGAGTTCAATCCCTGGTACCAAATAAAACAAAAAAATGATCATTTTGGTTCAGAGATTTAGCTCAGTGGTTCCGCTGCCTGCCTTGCCAAGTCCAAGGTCCCAAGTTTGATCCCCAGTACCAAAAAAAAAAAAAATTCAGGGGTGGGGATTTAGATCAGTGGTTCTGCCACCTGTCTCGCAAGTGCAAGGTCCCGAGTTCGATCCCTGGTACCAAAAAAGAAAAAAAAAAAAAAAGAAGAAACCTGTACAGGAAAGACGTAGGTGATGGCACTCTTCTCTAATCATGAACCATCGATTAACAGTTCCTCTAAGAGAAGGAGAAGCGCACATTTTCTGTAAAGAAAGTAAACATTTTAGATTTCATGGGCTAAAAGATCTTTCTCTTTGTTGCAACTGCTCAACTTTCTTTTTGTAATTTGAAAACAGAAATAGACAATGTGTAAATGAATAAGCTTGGCTGTGGTACACTAAGATAGTTTTTCTTTAAAAAGTAGTGAAGGGGCTGGAGATTTAACTCAGTGGTTTTGCCACCTGCTGCACAAGCGCAAGGACCTGAGTTCAATCCCCGGTACAAAAAAAAAAAAAAAGGTAGTGGACCAAATTTCATCAAAGGGTCATAGTTGGCTAAGGCCAGGTTTATATGCTTCCCAAGGAATGCACAAGCCCCTCTACCAATGCCTAATATGGAATAACCTGACTGAGTGATTTCAAGATCTCACCAATCTGAGGAGACAGGTATTTTGGTGACGGGCAAAAAAGAAAGAAGATTTTAATAGCCTCATCCTGGTAACCTAATAGTGAACTGGCTTCCTTCTCATACCTTGTAAATTGTCTCCCACTGCCACCTTCTTATCCCTCAATAGACAAGTTAGGTGGGGGTTTTCACGTCATTGAAACTATTCATTAAGACCACACTGAAATGTACTAATCTCTGAAGCCATTCTTGGATTATAATACACTCAGGTTGTAGTAGCACATTGTATCTATTTTTTTCTGCAGCCTTGGGTAAGTTAATAGCAATGTACCCTTGGACAAGTTATTTATTCTGTGTAACTCCTTTCCTTGCTTAAAAATTAGACATGCTACTGTGAAATTATGTAAATTAGCACAACCGCTTCAAACAAACCGCTTCAAAGTGCTCAAGAGATGTAGTTTAAAAATTATCACCAAAACCTGCTGATCTACACATCTTCCAGCACTTCCACCTCACATACACATCTTCCCTTTTGCAGACCACAAACCACTGGTGCTATACATAGCCTTGCCCTGAACTATGTTAAATGTTTGGTGTACGATGGATACTAGCATTTCCTTGGAAGACATTAATGTCCGTATTTATAAGCGATCACGTATGTGCTGTCAATGAAGCCTTATGAAGAAAACAAGGCATGGACTACTAGACAGTCCAACTTCAGGGAGCAAGAAACAAGCTCTGTACCCACCTGAATTATAACCTAGGCCTCGAGACTTCCCACTCGGGGCGTTTCACATGATGAAAACGGTTCCTCGATAAGTTTCTGAGCTTCCGGACAGCAGGGTTCAGGGGTTCGCAACGGGTCTAAGATTTCCAAGCCCCAGGCGTTCGTTCCCGGACACGGTAGTAGCTTAGGATAACCCGTTCCTCTACTCAATGATCATTTATTCATTCACCCATTCCCTCTGCCATCTTCCTAGGAGCCTCCTCTGTGCCAGACACCACGCTGGGCTCCCGGTGTGCAGCGCTGAGGTTGCCTGCTTGGCTCGGCCGGGTGGCGGGCAGCGCCCAGATTAGAGCGGTAGGGACAATCAGAAATGCGGGACGAAGCCGGAGGCTACTTCCCACATCAGCTTCCAACCAGCTACCCAGCCAGGCTCCTTTGGCCTCCCGCGCCCCGCCTGCTCACCGTGAGGTCCTGGGCCCCCCTGATGGGGCTCCTGAGGTCCAAGAGCTGTACGGAAGTCCAAAACTCAGTTGTAGTTCTGGGACCGGAAGTCCGGTAGCGCGGCCGGTCGTGCGTCACAGACTCTGATGCATCCCTCAGCTCCCTCTCTAGGAAGCGGGAGGAGCATCTCTATGGTACCCTGGATGAAAGCGCGAATTCTTTCAAGTGAATACCCAAATCCAGCCCTTTTCTCTCCACGCTGACTACCTTCACGGTTTCATATAAAAGACTACATTTGAAGCCGAGCGCAGTGACGTATGCCTGCAATCCCTGCTACTCAGGAAGCTGAGGCCGGATTACAAGTTTCAGCCCTGCTCGGGTCACTTAGGGAGACCCTGTCTGAAAATAGAGTGCCCGTGGGTTGGATTTCTAGGATTTGGGGTTTGGAGTCGGGTGCGGGTTCCACTAGCCTCGGACACAGCCCTCAGGAAAACTAGAAGGGAGGTGTTAGGGGGAGAAAGGATGAGGGGCGGAGCCAGGAACTACTTTAAACAATATACTCTACCTGCTTAAATAGCCCCCACACGGCTGCGGGTGTGGCTCAGTGGTGGAGCGCTGGCCTAGCCTGCCCCACCCCCGACTGCAGGTAAGATCTGCGAGTGATCCCATCATATAGAATAAAGGACCAACTCTGAACCTGGACCCACATAGAGTGACCTCAACAGCAACATCGGCTACTCAGCTAGCCTACATATTTCCATAACATGACAGAACCCTCATTGGTGCCCAGAAATTCCTAACCTGTTCCCAACCCTGGATCCTTTATCCAGGATTTGTCCTTCTGTATAGGGTCCTTCTTTTATATCGAGATAGGGTCCTTATTGGTGCAACAAGGACTGCAGACCTGGAAATGAAGTGAAGTTAATGCCTTTCTTTTTGGTACCGGGATTCAAATTCAGGACCTGGCACTTGCCAGGCAGGCTCTGTGCCGCTGAGCTACATCGCTGCCCTGAAGTTAACTTTTTTTTTTTTTTTTTTTTTTGGTACGAGGGATGGAACTTGGGTCCTTGCGCTTGCGAGGCAGGCGCCGGAACCACTGAGCTAAATCCCCGGCCCCTGAAGTTAACATTTTATGTGGAATAGAAAGAAGGGTTTGGTGTTGCACATAAGGGCAGAGAACATAGGGAAAGGACAAAGACACCACAGCCTAGATGGAGACAGTGGCCAAGGAATTGATCGGTGTCACTATGGATAGATGGGTGTGGGTCACAAGTTGGGTAATGGAGAGGCGAATACAGGGGAGTGCAAGAGAGGCCAGTCAGGGCTGGCTGAGTGGCCACTGCCAGGACTGCTGTGAGTTCGAGGTCAGCCTGGGCTACATAGTGAGTTCAAAGCCAGCCTGAACTACACAGTGAGACCCTGTCTCAACAAAACAAAACAAAACAAACACCAAATGCACTCCTTCATCAATCTGTCCTGTGGATCAAGTTGCACACATACTGAGGACAGTGCACAGGATGTTAAGCACAGCACTGTCAATACCAGCGAGAGAGGGCTGGGGATTTAGCTCAGCAGTGCCGGTGCCTGCCTCGGAAGTGCAAGGTCCCAAGTTCAATCCCCAGTAGAAAAAATAAAAAATAACAGCAAGAGACAAGAGAACCCACGTCCAGCAACAGAGCCTCCCCACAGGAGTTACGGCACATCCACACAATGGTGCCCTGGAACAGGGAGAAAAGGGGGTGGACCTCACCGGGCCACAGAGCTATCTCCAAGTCACCGAATGAAAAATGCAAGATGCAGGCAGGCTGCATCCTAGGCTCTCATTTGTTCATTTTTAAAGCAGAGATGCTCGCACCTGTGAATGCACAGAGCATCTCCGGAAGCAGCTGAGCGATACTGGGAGACTCCGGGCCAGGAGACTGGTTGGATGGATGGGACCCTCTGACTTCTCCCTATGCTTTCATACAACAGATCTTTATCCCACAGGCAAGCACTGCAGTTTGAAAAAGAACTATTAGGTCAGGACAGGGGTGCTGAGACAGGAGCTGCAAGGAAGGGGCACAGGTTTTGGTTTCAGAGTTGGCTGTGAAATGAGGGTGGGAAGAGAAGTTTTCGGGGAGGGTCATCGCTGTGAGGTGCCAGGCACACAGGAATCCTCAACAGACTGGTGGTGATGACAGCCTGGCCTGAGGCACCCGGCTTCCTTGGCGTCCTCGGAGGGAGAGCACCAGCAAGGTCACAGGCACTGGGGCGAGTGTCGCCTGGGGCAGCCAGGTAGCCTGCCAGGCCTCGGCTCACCTCCTCCGCCCAGCCCTTCTCAGCCCAAGGCCGCCGCTGGCTCCACTTCTGTCCCATCACGGGTGTCCACCAGGGCCCTGACTGGGGATTCGCTGCTCGCTCATCTGTGGCCCTTGAGGCCTGCTCGTTCTATGTCTGGAGCACACAATTTGTCCCTCCCTTCTCACCCCTGCCAATGGCTGGCTCAGAATCCCACGGTCTCTCTTGGACTGTGAAAACCCTCGGGCACAGTCTCCCGGAATCCTGTCTCCACCAGGGCAGCGTCCACACTCCAGCAAGAACGATATCACTACCCTATACTGGACTGAACTCCTTCACCTGACAGTGGGGCCTGAAGAACTGGGGACTTCATTCCTCTACACCCTTATTCCGTCCTCAAACCCAACCCACACGCCACAAAAGTTTCACCACATGAACAAGCATTATCCTTTCTCTCCTATGGACTTTTCTTTTCCTGGTCGTAAAGTCATTCAAGCTCATGTAGAACATGTAGACAACGCAGGAAAATCTAACACTGTGAACACTCAACCTATTTATTGTCTCTCTACGCATGTTCATTTTAAGAAACAGAGCTCTGTATAGTTTTATTTTGTACCTTGGGTTATTCACTTAGTATTATTTTGAGCATCTTTTCGTTACCATTGTTCTTTAAATTATGACCTTGCTGTTTGCATAATATTCCATCATATGCCAGGTGTAGTGGCACACACCTGTAACCCCAGCACTCAGGGTGCTGAGGCAGGAGAATCACCACACGTTCAAGGCCGGGCTAGGGTATATAATGAGTTCAAGGGCACCCTGAGCTACACAGCAACACTGCCTCAAAAGACAAAAAAATTTCTATTATATAATTTAATAATTCTTCTACTGTTGGGCCGGGGATTTAGCTTAGTGGTGCCACTGCCTGCCTTGAAAGCACAAGGTCCTGAGTTCGATCCTCAGTACCAAAAAAAAAAATTCTGTCAGTCACAAGCTGGTTCTGTACAAATTGTCCAAATATTTATTTTTAGCATAGTTTTTTATTGCATCAAAGGAAATCAACACTTCTTTAAAAACGTTTAACTTCCCCCAAAATGTTAACAATGGATTAAAAATGGCTAAAATTTAGCTGGTGTGGTGGTTAAGGTTTGAAGTCACAGTGCTGGGGAGGCTCACACGAGAGCGTAGTGGAGTTGAGCCCATCCAGAGCTATCTAGCAACTCAGAGACCCTGTCTCAAGATAAAAATGAAGGGCTGGGGATTTAGCTCAGTGGTGCCCCACCTGCCTTGAAAGCACAAGGTCCTGAGCTTGAGCTCCAGCACCAAAAAAAAAAAAAAAAAAGATACAAATGAAAATGTGCTGGGAGTGCAGCTCAGTGTGAAGGCCCTGGGTTAAACCTCAGTACACCCTCCCAGGATGGGTGAGGAGGGAGAGAAAGAGAGATAACAATGATGTAATAAACAGAATACCCAGAAGATGGAAAATGGGGAAAGTGATAACTGAGAAAGTTTGTGGAGAGAGAACAGCTTGGACTAGGTGTTGAACTGACCCACTCTGCCAACCCCCAGAATGGGGGACTTGGAAACCCTAAATCCTTTCTCTTTGTTGCAACTGCTCAACTTTCTTTTTGTAATTTGAAAACAGAAATAGACAATGTGTAAATGAATAAGCTTGGCTGTGGTACACTAAGATAGTTTTTCTTTAAAAAGTAGTGAAGGGGCTGGAGATTTAACTCAGTGGTTTTGCCACCTGCTGCACAAGCGCAAGGACCTGAGTTCAATCCCCAGTACCAAAAAAAAAAACGGTAGTGGACCAAATTTCATCAAAGGGCCATAGTTGGCTAAGGCCAGGTTTATATGCTGCCCAAGGGAATGCACAAGCCCCTCTACCAATGCCTAATATGGAATAACCTGACTGAGTGATTTCAAGATCTCACCAATCTGAGGAGACAGGTATTTTGGTGACGGGCAAAAAAGAAAGAAGATTTTAATAGCCTCATCTTGGTAACCTAATAGTGAACTGGCCTCCTTCTCATACCTTGTAAATTGTCTCCCACTGCCACCTTCTTATCCCTCAATAGACAAGTTAGGTGGGGGTTTTCACGTCATTGAAACTATTCATTAAGACCACACTGAAATGTATTCATCTCTGAAGCCCTCCCTGCATCGTGGAGATTGTGTGGGGTCTGTCCCACAATTCTGTGGTCATGTTTAACAAAAGCACAACAGTGGGCTTAAGTGACAGCCAACCTTAGTGTGAATGGACCTTAAAGTGGCAGAGAGGCCCGCAGCCAGGCAGGCAAGCGAGTGATCCCCCACCTTTGTTTGTCTTGTGTTACTGTTCAAAGGTTGTAATAATTGTCTTTGATCATGGGAAACACAAACACTAAACCAACTGTATTAGATTGCATGATTCAAAATTTTGATAAAGGATTTGTGGGAGATTATGGGGTGAAGTTATGACCAAAAACTAAAGAAATTCTATGAATTGTCATGGCCTCAATTGTTATCTGAATGGCCACCAGAAGGAAGCATAGACAAAGTTAGGCAGGTGTGGAATAAAGCAACCAGGCAAGCCGAGTGGATGAACGTCTGTATATAGACACTTGGCTAGACCTATGCAGGAGACCACCACCCTGGCTCCAGATCTATGTTTTAGGGAACATGTCAACTTGTTTTGTGTTAAAAACAGAAGGAGAGAAATTGGATCAGGAAGATATATTAGACTCTCCACCTCCCTATAGAGGGAGGTCAGCTGAAGCTAGCACCTCACCACCACCAAAGGCAGGGAATGGCCCTTCTCAGTTTCCTGGGGCAGTGCCGTCCACCCTAATAGCTCA